CATGATCATCAGGGATCCACGCTCCTTCTGTCATTCTACTCTGCAATCCTTACTTAACATATGACTTCCATCTTCATGTAGCAACTGAACTTCTTGCTGCAGACCAAGATCGACAGTAATTGATATAAATGTGAGGAGTCTGGCAGAAGGCTGACCAGGACTCCTTTTGATATTCACAGGGTGAATATCTACATTTTATTACCTGCTGCTGACTCGGCCTAAAGCAGCAAACTCCCCCAAGACCTGGCAATCTTACTGTTTGCTAAACATTACCATTGATATGTCTGTTTGCATTCCTAAAGGCAATTGTGTGTTCTAGCTAATAAAAACAGCTGGGAATGGAGCAACGGAGAGAGCTTGACCGTCATGGTTAGGCTGTCCTCTGGTTCCCCCAGTAATTATAAAAATTAATATTCCATCTTGTGTGTATCATTTGCGCATCAGCCCTCCCTTCAAGTCTTTGAACCCGTGAAAGCCATGCTGGCCGTGGACTCTCGCAACTTTTTATATTTTTTTATTAAAAATTTTTAATGTGGACATTATTGCAGACTTCCTCCATTCTCCCCCCTTTTGCCCACCTCCACCTACCCCTGCCTCCTGCTCTTTTGGCCTTCACCACACTATGGTCTGTGTCCCTGGGATATGCTAATCCCTTCAACTTCTTTATCCAGTTGCCCCCACCCTACTCCCCTCTGCTCCTGACAGTTTGTTCCATGCATCCATGCTTCTGGTTCCATTTCGTTCATCAGTTTATTTTGTTCATTAGATTCCACATATTAGTGAGATCATATGGTATTCGTCTTTCTCTGGCAGGCTTATTTCACCAAGCATAATACTCTCTAGGTCCATCCATGCTATTGTAAAGGGTAAGAGTTCCTTCTTTTTTACAGCCACATAGTATTCCCCTGTGAAAATGTACCAGTTCTTTTATCCACTCATCTGTGATATATTTTTATTGATTTTTTTTTTTGAGAGAAAGAGAGAAAAGGAGAGAGAGAGAGGAAGGAAGAGAAACACTGATTTGTTGTTCCACTTATGTATTCATTGGTTGATTCTTGTATGTGTCCTGATCAGAAATCGATGGTGTATTGGGACAACATTTTAATCAACTGAGCTACCCGGCCAGGGATGCAAATGCACTTCTTCTTCTTCTTCTTCTTTTTTTTTTTTTACTGATTTTTAGAGATTAAGGGAGGGAGAAAGAAATATCAAGGTGAGAGCAGAACATGGATCATCTGCCTCCTGCACACCCCGTCGGGGATTAAGCCTGCAACCTGGGCATGTGCCCTGATCCAGAATGAAACCAGCAACCTTTCGGTGCACTGGACTTACCACGCAGGCCAGGGCACAACTGCACTTTTTGAATGGGGAAAAGACTCTATCATTTTCTGCTGTCCCCATTCTTCCTTAATATCTCCCACTCTACTCTGTGCCAGTTGTCACATATCCTTGAGCTCACAGTGTTGTTTTCCTTGCTTTCTGCCCACTTCAGTCATATACACAACCTGCACAGCCCCTGTAGGCTCTGAGAGTATGGTCCCTGATCAAAAGAGCATCCCTACTGAGCTCAAGCAAGAAGTCTAACAACTCCTTTCTTATAAAGCTTTTGGAAAAAAAAAAAGTAGATCCACCAACAGCAATGTTCTCAACTTTAGGGTCATGGGACAATGGTGTTTCTACCTATTGTGCTCGATATGAGGTATATCCAAAGTAATTTCTTACTAGATATATGTGTGCTTTTAAAGTTTGCCAACAGTGCTCTTTCTTTTTTAGAAATTTAAGGTCATTCCTATGATAACATCATTTTCTTTCTCTTGCATTCTTGTATGCTTTATAGAAGAGGGGTGAGTTCAAAATCACTGGTTAATTCACATAATTTGAAGCTTATTTAAGTATATTCATGGGTGTGTCACATATATGATATTCATCCTTTATGTGTTGCAGCAGTAGAATGTTGAAGTATAATTCCAGAGCAGACAGACATTATGGTAAAGCTCTGAATGGGTTAGGGAGTAGAGACCAATGGTCATCACTAAACATGCAAGTGATTTTACTAGTCATGCTAAATGCCAAGTGGGATTACATAGTTTGTTGGCCAACTGGGGCTCTGTGTAAACTTTTTAATATATGTCACTAGTCTCTTGGGAAAGAAAGTCCTACCTTAAGATTAGGAAAAGAAGATTGAAGTTAGCTTTGGGGATGGGGGACTGTGGGTAAGGAGACCATGGCTCACTTTTCTAATAATTCAGAAGGAGCAAGGTTAAGTTAGGTTAAGGGGTCTAAGATTAAGTTAGAATTCCAAATCAGAAATGGTGTTGCCAGAGACATGGGCTCTGCTACAAGATTTGTAATAGAAAAACAGAAGGAATTTAAGCATGCAGGTATAGCTGGTAGCTCCAAACAATGAGGGGGGCGGGGGGAGGGAGGAGGGAACCAGCTAAGAAAAAAGTGCTTGAGAGAACCCAGAAAATTTGGTGCTAGTATTGATAACAGTAACCAGATCCCGGCAGTAGAAGAAAATGGTGGAGCCAATTTTGTAGGTATAACTGATTTGGGAGAATACTTAGTATGAGATATTATAAGGTCATGATATATATTGGGGACCCAGACTAGAGAAATGGCCTTAGGGGGGAAAAAAGGTGATGTAAGAAACACTAATGAAGTAATATACAGATAAGGCTTGTCAATTGACCATGAGTGAGGTGGGAGGCAGTAGAGAGGTAGGGGTCAAAATTCAATTATTTTGGCCTGGATAAATAGAAAAATGAAGAAACTCTTCATAGAAATAAGGAAACCTGATAGGGACACTATTTTAAGGGGAAAGGTGATGTGTTCAGCTCTCAATAATTTGAGTTTGAGGTGAATGTTAAATATCCAAGTGGAAATATCCAGAATACTCAGTAGAGAATAGGAGATGTGAGGCTGAATTAATGAGAGAGGTCAAAGCTAGAATTCTAGATTGGAAGTTATATCTCAATGATGTAAGTAGGAGCTGGAATAGTAGATGTGATTGCTAAGGGAGGTGCTCCAAAGACTAACCTCTAAGAATGTCTTCTCCTGGTTCCTATATATGAATCTTAAATATGTAGACTGGAGATATTCAATTATTGCCTTGAACTGGCAATTATTTATTGCTTATCGTCTGAGACACAATGAACCAGGGATATTTGAATTCCAAAATTGTATTACTTCAACAGAGAAATTGAAATATACAGAGTAAGAATAGATGAATACCAGAAAGTTGCTCCTAACTTGTGTTATAAACTAAATCTAGTATCAGGTCCATTAAATATTGCCAGCCAATACTGAATGAATAGGTGGTTTTCACATAACATTTTTCCTTAAATCCATTTGCAGTATTTTTTCCAAGAAGAATTTCAAGATCACTTCTTAATTTTCTTAATTTTATAGTTTCAAGTTAGACAAATGAAATATGCCTTATCAAACATAGTGTTAAAGACCTGAGTACACTGTGTATTCCAAAATACCTGTGTTAATGTTTAATTGTATAAAGAATATTACGCAAATGTTTAACTGAATAAGGAAGTAGGGTATCATTATTAACAATGATTTGTGAATATAATTAGAAATGAATGATTAGGGAAAATATCACAGTAAAAAGAGTATATTCCAAAAGTAGTAGACTGAGGATATGATAATAAGCCCTTTATATCCTCTACATACCAGTAGAACATGCATATGGTATTCCTGTTTATGAAAATTATTTAAAATGAAAAGGTAGAGATAAGAGGGTTATAATGGTCTCCTAATTCCTCTAAGTAATTTTAATATATTCTATCTATTATACAACTTTGTATAGACTAGTGATCAAATAAAATATATTCCCAGAGGAAGCCTGGAATTTACATAATGGTTTCTCAAATCCTATTGTTCTAGTAATTGCCTCACACTTGTTTAGTTTCTGTACATGTGTTCTGCCTCAACCCATTAATGAATGGATTTTGGTGTTCAGTTGTATAAGGGAGTGTTAGCATTAAGAGAGCATAGAAGAGACCTAGCTGGTTTGACTCAGTGGCTAGAGTGTTGACCTGCAGACTGAAGGGTCCCAGGTTCAATTATGGTCAAGGGCACATGCCCAGGTTGTGGGCTTGAGCCCCAGTAGGGGGTGTGCAGGAAGCAACCGTTCAATGTTTTTCTTATCATTGATGTTTCTCTCCCTTTCCCTTCATCTCTGAAATTAATAAAATTTATTTTTAAAAAAGAGAGAGCATAGGAGAAAGATAAATACCACATGATCTCACTCATTTGTGGAATATAATGAACAACATAAACTGATGAATAAAAATAGATCCAGAAACGGAGATGCATCAACTGACTGTCAAACTTCAGAGGGAAGGCGGGGGGAGGGGGGAGGAGAGACATGACATGGTGTTAGGAGATCAACCAAAGGACTTGTGTGCATGCATATAAGCATTAACAATGGACACAGACACTGGGGTCGGGGGGGAAGGTGCATTTCAGCTTTCTCCTCTAGGTGGTTTTCACACAAATTCCGAAGTATTTTTAGGGAGGAAATATATAGTGGAAAAGGATTATATGTAGCATGCTTGGAACTTTTTATACTTAAGAAATTTAAAAGGAATTCATTCTTCAGGCAACATGACTAAAAGTTCCATGAGTGACCAGGGAGAGGTTAATGGGGGGATAAGGAGACATATGTAATACTTTAATCAATAAATAATTTTAAAAAATAAATTATATCATAAGTCTAAAAATAAAAGAGAGAGAGCATAAGTTCTGGAACTAAACAACTTTGAATATGGATTCTTCTGCTTCCTAAGCTTTGAAGCTTTGGGCAGGTCACTCAACCCCTCTGAGCCTCAGTTTTCCCATCAATAAAATTAAGAACTAGTAGTACTTACTTTATAGGATTGTTGGGAGAATAAAATATAAAGCATCTAGGCAAGTACTTGGCATAAATGTTTATTATAAAGTATTGACATAAAAAATATTTTTGAACCATGCAAACACACACTTACCTAACACATATTAGTTATGTTTTGTTGTATGTGATGGTTGGGTCTAATAAGTATACTAATCAAGGCAAACAGATGGGCAGAAAGTCTTCACTCCAGTCTCAGGGAGCTAACTTAGAGCTGGCATAGGTCCTCTGAAGGAAGATAAAAGTGAACCTGTGTTTTATTTAACATCTAAGTTCTATTGTTTCATCCTCTTTGTCTCTTTGTTCTTTACTGTTTTACTCTTTGTGGCTCAATTAAACAGATGCTAATACTTTCAGAGAAATACAAAATAGTGCAACACAGGTAAACACTAAAAATAAAATTGTAGGAGCAATTTGAACTAAAGCTAGAGCTCAAATCTTAAATATAGTGCCCGTCTGAAATGGAAATGAAGAAATTTCTTTTCTGTACTTTGGCTAATCATGTTAATCAAATCCATAGGATAATTCAAATTAAGAAATAAATGGGACCTTAATACACTCCACTAATATTTAAGAAAATTAAATTTGTATTACATGTGAACAAATTGACAGTTGCTGGACAGAGAGCTGAATAAGTCATCCAATTAATCTAATTCTAACGTATACAATTTCTGAAAATATTTCTTATTTTCAATTTCTAAATGTAAAAAACTAATAGGTATTCTAGTTTTAAAGTTGAGGTGGAAAACTGAAAAATTTGATTGAAAAATGTATAGATCTGAGAAAAGGAAGAATTTTAAGACTGTAATTTATGGGGAAAATATAGATTTTTTTTTCACAATAATGTGATCTACCACACTTGAATTTATTTACTGTAATACTGAATCTTCAGGTTTCATTTAAGAAGGTTAAAGCAATGGTAATAAGTGACTTTGCTACTAATGTGGTGCCAAAGCCTCACTAAATATTCTAAAAAAAGTCTTTGATATTCTTTTTTTGTGTTTTATTTTATTTCAAGAAAAACGATTTTAAATATAATGATGTTACATGCAATAAACCTTAATATTTCAAGAAAAACGATCTTAAATATAATGTTGCATGCAATAAACATTAATATTTCAAGAATAAAAGGATTTTAAGTGTAATAATATTACTAAAACTGTACTAACATAGTATATCACAAAAGTTGTAGGAAATATTAAAAATCTGCAAGTAACAGGATTACTTCTATTATATTCTAGTTGAGCTTTTAACATCATTACTCTCAACTCTGTTTCAGATAAATTTGTTATCTCTGCTTCATTTATCTCTTCTGGAGAATTTGCTAGTTCTTTCATTGGGGGTTGTTTCTTTGTTTCCTCATTTTGATTGTTTGGGTTTGTGACTATGTTTTAGGTAGATCCTCCATACCTCTTAATCTCTAGTGCAGGGCAGTGATAAAGGCTGTTTCTGACTAATTGGATTAGGCTAAGACTCAAAGCCTCCAGAGACCGCCTCTGTCTACAGACTAATAGGATTCCGACTTGAATTGCCCCCAGGCAATCATCCTCAGGTGTGGCAGGAGTTTTTTCAACAGGGTAGGTAAGTTGCTTACCTAATTGTTACTTTTAATCTCTTAAATAGCCTCAGGGCAAGGTGTTTTCCAATAGGGCAGTGGTTCTCAACCTTCCTAATGCCATGACCTTTTAATACAGTTCCTCATGTTGTGGTGACCCCCAATTTCATTGTTACAAATTGAACATAATTAAAGCATAGTGATTAATCACAAAAACAGTATGTAATTATATATGTGTTTTCC